AGGTACGGCAGATGCTGAAACTAAGATGGTAAATATCTTTTACCCGCGTTGCGTCTTGTTGCATTTTCTAACGTTTCCAAACGTAATAGGGCATGCCTGCTGACAACGTCGAGATGGTGGTCGTTGAACCACGATGTTCCTCTGGAAGTAGGTTTCCGATTTACACAGAGAGAGAGTGGACGGACGGGTAATGAGTGACGATTAGACTAAACTCGATCTTTTGTTGCTGATTATCTTCTGATTCTTACAGTCGGCACTGGTATCGTTACCAAGATCATCGAGCAATCTATTCGTTCCATTTTGTCTATTAGGTGTTTTGTTTCGTATATCTTCCTTTTATCTACGCACCCCAAAATCGCAAGGACGCCTTGCAAAATACATGTATTGCTTAATTCCCAAACTAAGTTGTGCGACAGTTGGTATAGCGAAATTTTATTTTATGTAAGCTACAGGGTCGGAGAAAAAAACCGTGGACACAATCGGGTACTTACCTCCCGAACTACACGTTACTATCATTATTGGACCGTCTTAGTTTGGGATGCCTGAATTTGCACCAGACGATTGTGAGTGCCCTAGTTTTAGAGTCTTTGGCGCTTGTGCGGTGTCCGGTGGTTTTGCTAATTGATAACCTCTTGATGGAGTCGCCCCAAGCTCGGACAGGAACTCTTTATGGATACGTCCCTGGTGAAGCAGCCTGTATAGTCTTTATAGTCTTGTTCAGTCTCACCGGTAGTACGTTATACTTTCATCCACACTTCATATCGGGATATGGGCTGAACGACAAATTTGGTCTTAGTTATTCATCTCGGACAGGCGGTATGGCGCAAGATGTGGTGGCTTATTCCCACCAAGTTCACTTGTGCGTTAACGGAAGTGATAGGCTGGTCAGGGCGTTTATGGTCTTCTAAACGTCCTGGTGCACTGAACCCCTACCTAATGCAGTAAGTGTTACGGTATGCCTTCTTTACTAAAATTATTTTGCTCACTTTCTGACGCAACTGTTTGTCAAAGGGTTCGAGTTCAATTCCCTTAGGAAGCAAAAACATTTCACTACTTTTTGTCCATTTTAAGTAGATACAAACATACAAAGTAAATACAATAAATACAAACAAGTTATGAATTGAGGAATAGTCTGGAATGCTCTAAGTGATACCCAAATGAACTACGGAACTGCGCTTACGCTTAGTTCGGTGGAAGCCCGAAGGCGTGGGAATTTCTATATTAGTCAGGGTAACTCTCGACAAACATTGAGAGTTGTAGAATATTCTAGTTAACTACCTTGTATATAAATACCTTACATTAGCTAGAATGAAATTTATCGATCTTTACCTCTTAAATCTGCCTCAGTGCCTACCTATTCCGTTGTCGATGTGCATCAGCTTCAATCCGTGTTAAGTCCGGAAACCACTCTGTGCAAATACCGGAGTCCCTTTCCTGTGTTAACCCCGGAATCCTTTGTCCGTGCTAATCCCGGACATATCCAACCCGTGTTTAGCCCAGGACCAAGCTGCTCTTTCTTCTTCTCTTCTGTAGCGCTTTCGCTCACCTTATCTGCGTTAAGACCGTTAACGCTGTTATCTCCGAACACACGACTTAGCAAAAATCAATGCAAAACCTCTTCACCCCGAGTCGACATCCCTTCCCGTTGTTATTCCTCAAGGCACAGTACCAGATACTGTACTTCGGTAAGTAATCTTCCTATAGAAACCTTAAGTATCGAGAGTGCCCAAGATTTGGGCGCACGTGCAACTAATCTTTATTTTTCTTCGCTTACTTAGTGTTGGAAATTGGAATCCAAACCCCGAATCGAGACCGGTTGGGTAGCTCAGCGGAAGAGCATCCCTGTACAGTCGGGAGAGTCCCAGGTTTGATTCCTGGTCTGACCTCTGTTTTACAACAGGGTTATGAGCCCAGGGTACGCTAGGAGTACGCCTTGGTTGGACATTGCAAGCAATACACGGGGTATTGGCTTCAGGGGGGGTGTTGGAAATTGGAATCCAAACCCCAAATCGAGACCGGTGGGGTAGCTCAGCGGAAGAGCATCCCTGTACAGTCGGGAGAGTCCCAGGTTCGATTCCTGGTCCGACCTCTGTTTTACAACACTCAGTATCATTTCCACTCTATCGCAAATATCTACTTCAAATTTCATAGTATTTTCTAGATACTTTGTAGTTACATTTTGTCGAACCTGAACTATTTAAAACAGGAATTGTCAAACCATTTAGTTACATTAGCATCAATAAATTTGCTTACCAGTTAAGTGTCAAGTTTACTGTAACAATTGGTGATCGGAACCAGACTATTCCGTTAGAAAGTTATTAAATATTCACATTCAATAAAATTGACACCCTGGATAACGATCCCTACCGCAATATCGGCGAGTTAGTAGATTACCTAGAAGGAAGAACCAAATCTACTACTCAGAGTACTACGCACCCAGGAACCCCTAGGATGTCGAATCAAGAAACTGAAGTAGGAGGGCTAAACTCCTCTCTTGAAATGAACAAACTTCACCAATTCCAGATACAGCCTCGCCTTGGGTATATCCTACTTTGCCGTTACCTAGATTATTCACTTCCCCATGAACCTCTACTCCCAGAATCACTGGCGGATTTCCTATACCATCCTTCCATTCAAGACCATCTCCTAGACGACTCTCCCCGATCCCATCTTTCGACTTAGTTATACCTGAACAAGGATGACAAGAACCTTTGCCACCATTCCATACACCCTCTCCAGTTTGCACTATACAAATCCCAATTGCTAAGCAAAGATTGCAGATACCAGAAGGATCTATGACTGATCAATTAAGGAAGAAACTCCTCAAGGATGCTATTAAAGAATATCGAGATGGATGGATACCACCACCAATGTATCCCAGTCTCGAGGATGAAATGATGTTCAAAGGATATGAGGAATTAGACAAAAGTTTTAAAAATGTAAGAGTAAAGACTTCCTATATAGCTGGAATCAATAATACTTATTATATTGATTACAATCTGTATGGAGAATTTGTCGAACGACTCGAAAGAATTCGAGTCGAAGGGAGATACAATGGAATGGAATTAAGGGAAATACCTACATTTGGAATAAGCGACAATGTAGGATACTCACAAAGTATGTCGTATAGAGATATAATGCTAAAGAGTATATTATATTGTGAGGAAGTGGAGAATTGGTTTGCTCATGTAATAAACGAAGCAATTGCCTTAGATATACGAAACGAAGAAGAAGACAGGTTCGATGCCTCCAAAATCACTAAACCCGAATCAATCAAAGAAATGATAGGTGAAGAAAAATATCGATGTCTGGGAGAAGAAACTGAGGAATTTCATCATGATAAACAGCTACTTCCAGAGCACAAAGAATCGGCACCAAAAATCAGTCAACGAGAAAAAGCCAAAAATCGACGAAGTGAAAATTTGACCTTCACTCCCCAAACTCATTCAGGCGTGCCGACTCATATTGAAATTCAACAGAGACGTGATTCTCGAAGACGCGAAGCTCAACATGAACCGCTGGCAACTCCGATAAATCAATATATTCGTCAAGATCAAACTATGTACAGAACTGCTCCCAAAACCTTGAGCCAAGGAATTGAAGAATCTAGGTACACCAGTAACCCTCTTCCCACCATCAAAGAAATACCTCTCACTGAACGAGACGGGTTCAATAGCATACGAGACTCAGTGAAACGACAACAATATGGTAAACCTGCTAAAACCGTACTGGCGGTAGACAATCGGACTTACCGGAACTTGAACCCATTAGAAGGACACACTGGAGCCTGAAGACTTACCAAGGTCTTTGCACCTCCTCAATTTGAGGCTCTCCAGCCCACTCCAGCTTCATTGGAAAGAGACCGAAGACATCTGTTAGAAGTAGAACGTCAACAAGAACCACCATCATGTGAGTCACACACTCGACCCACTTCCCCTCCTGCTATTATAGAAATTATCGCACCTGGTGCTCCAGGAGGAGGAGGAGGTGACGACAATGGAGATGATGATGGAGACCCTAGGAGACCTCGACTACCACCAACACCTCCCAGAAACCCACATCCACCTCATGGACCTAATGATCCGAGAAGTCCGCCCAGAAATTCACCAAGACCTGGAAGATCCGGAGGAGGCGGACCAGGAGGTCCAGGAGGTTCAGGAGGTCCATGTGCATCAGGAAAAACCTGTTTGCTAATTAGCTGCCCCTTCAATCTCTTTAGAGTAGTTAGCATACTGCCATTGCTAATTAGTATAATTAGCTCTAGTTAGAGCTATCAGCACTAATATGGTACTATTTAGTCATCTTTAGCCACATCTTAAGTCTAAATAGACCTATTTAGCTCTAAAATAGCTCTAA